GTCAGCCCCGCCCACGGACAGGTGAGGAACAGGTGTCACCTGTGGGGTCACCTGTGGGGTCAGGTATGGGGTTAATGGGGTCAGCTCTGGGGTCACCTGTGGGGTCACCTGTGGGGTCAGCGGGGTCAGCTCTGGGCTGTCTGCGGGGGCCACAAACAGCTGTGTGGGCAGCACACCTGCCCAGGGCGTGTCCAGGGCGTGTCCAGGGCGTGTCCCCCGCCCCGCTGACCCCTCCCCGTCGCCCCCAGCGTGCCCAGTTCAACTGGGACCCCGAGACGGTGGGGATGATCCACGGCTCCTTCTTCTGGGGCTACATCGTCACGCAGATCCCCGGCGGCTTCATCGCCCAGAAATTCGCCGCCAACAGGTGAGGGCGGGGCCGGGGGGGCGTGGCCGGGCCCGCAGGTGTCCCCGGGGGTCACCTGGCTGTCCCCGGGCAGGGTGTTCGGCCTGGCCATCGTGTCCACCTCGGTGCTCAACATGCTGATCCCGTCGGCCGCGCGCGCCCACGTCGGCTGCGTCATCGCCGTGCGCGTCATGCAGGGCCTGGTGGAGGTCAGCGGGGATTTTGGGGTGATTTCGGGGGAATTTGGGGGTTTTTGGGTGGTTTGGGGAGATTTTGTGTTGTTTCGGGTGCTTCTCGTGGGGATTTGGGGGGTGGTTTTGGGTCTTTTTGGGTGTCTGTTGTCGCCGTGCGCGTCATGCAGGGCCTGGTGGAGGTCAGCGGGGATTTTGGGAAGATTTCGGGAGAATTTGGGGTTTTTTGGGGATCCTTGGGTGGATTTAGGTGGATTTGGGTGGTTTTAGGGTGGTTCTAGGGTGATTTGGGGGTTTTTGGGTGTTTGGGGCCTGCGTCATCGCCGTGTGCGTCGTGCAGGGCCTGATCGAGGTCAGGAGCGGATTTTGGGGTGATTTCAGGGGTTTTGGGGAGTTTTCAGGGTGTTTTGGGGGTTTGCAAGTGTCTTTGGGGCGTTCTGGGATATTTCATTTTGATTGAAGGATTTTTTAAGGAGTTTTTAGGGTGTTTTTAAGGGGCGTTGGGGTGTTTGTGTTTAAGGTGTTTTTGGGGAATTTTGGGGTGGTTTTGGGTATTTTTGGGGTATTTTCAGGTGTTTCCAGGTGGCTTTCGATGTTCAGCTGGGGAGGTTGGGGTGTAGCATTCCCACACTCCCATTGGCCAGGGCGTGGCAGGGGGGGCGTGGCCAGGCTGGGTGTGTCCCTTGGCACCCCCGCACTGCATCCTTCAGGGTGTGGCCGTGTGGGCGTGTCCGGGGGGCGTGTTCAGCGCTGACCCCGCCCCTTTTCGGCAGGGCGTGACCTACCCCGCCTGTCACGGCATCTGGAGCAAGTGGGCGCCGCCCCTGGAGCGGAGCCGCCTGGCGACCACGGCCTTCTGCGGTGCGGGGGGCTCGGGGGGCTTCTG